GATTCGCTACAGGAGGCCTTTGTTCACCCCCCCGGAGCCGTGTGAGGCACTTTTTTATTATGGATGGATGCTCTTTATTTCACTTCTTTTGGACTGATGAACTGCAACACCCGCTGACTGCCATTAAACAGCTTGAAAGATCAAAGACAATTTTTATTATAACTCCGATTGGATTCATCTGAAAGAAGAAAGTCATATACACCTAGGATGCCTTGAGGGTGAGTACTTCATGGGCTAATTTTCATTTTTGGGTGAACTAACCCTTTAACCTCATTTTACTTACTAATGTGACATATTTCTGAGTCCATTAGTACATTCAACTAGAAAAAAATAAGAAATAAATGTTGGGATGTACTTGATTTTATTAATCTGCAGTTGGCTCGATGGAAAAAAGTGACTGTTGCATACCAGTTATGTGTGAGTTTGCTGAAACAATGATATTCGGCTATTGGCTAACATGACAGAATCAAAGAAAGTAACATCAGTGGTAAAAGAAAGTCAACAAAGAGCAAGGTTCAGTATTGCATTTGTTTTCTTTCCACAGTGCAGCGACTGTGGTCAGAATTATCCTATTTCAGTTGTTGTGATTGGTCATTTGTGTTATTCACTCATAAAGGATTTCTTCAAGGTTTAATAGTTCCCTTGGGTCCTTAAAGACATTTTGATCAAATTTAAGGGTATAAAAAGATTTTACATTTCTTTTTGTGCCTAGTTTTAAACGCATTATTATCTTATCTGCAAAGTGCAGTATTGTTTGACCTCTAATGTGTATGTATTAATATATTGGTACATAAACCAATTTGAAAACATATGTATTGTAGAGACATGTCTTGAGTATTTTAAACCCAAGCCTGTTTAATTATATAAAAGAATCTGAGATACATGATCATTTTGAGATTATTTGAGTTTGTTCTGCATGGACATACAGTATTCATTTTATTTGGGCAGGTCTTAAAATGTCTTAAATTTGATTTTAAAAACTCACCAGATACTATACTCACCATGTATATATCTATATATACATACACACACACACACACAAACATATTTATTTTCTCTCTCTCTATGGGTGGGTGTGCATAATAACTGTATACTCAGTTTGCACTTTGCCAAAGTTAAAATAAAGTCTGATACTGGATCAGTTTTATCGTTGCTTTCATAGTGGCCTATATAGTCACCTTCAAGTCACTCATACAATACACATAGCACTTTATACAATACAGATTGTGTCAAAGCAGCTTTACAGTGTTAAACAGAAAAAAAAAGTGTGCTGATGATGCAAAATAACAATAGAAAACAGTCAGTTTTTCAGTTAAAGTCGGTTCAGTGATGTCATCATCCAGCTCAGTTCAGTTCTCTTCAAATAGTGTCTGTGCAATCAAGTCAACAATATTGCCAGAAATTGTGTCCCCAACTAAGCAAGCCAAAGGCGACAGTGGCAAGGAACCAAAACTCCATCGGTGACAGAAATGGAGAAAAAAAAAGCTTGGGAGAAACCAGGCTCAGTTGGGGGGCCAGTTCTCCTCTGGCCAGACAAAACCAGCATGGTGTGGTTTAATTTCAGGCTGCAACACAGATCAGATTGAACAGAGGACTTGTCTGGTTCTCTTGGTCTTGTGCCGATGGCTGTCGTGGTGACAAGGTCTTCGCTGGGGATCTGTATCTGGGGCGCATCTAGTTGACATGGTCTCCTCTGACATTCAGGGCTGTAGAGGTCGTCTCTAGGTGCTGATCCACCATCTGGTCTGGAAACGGACTGGATTTTGGTGGCTACGGTGACTTTGGAATAAGAGATGAAACAGACTAATATTAGCGTATGCCATTCTTCTTATGATGTAGTGAGTACATCTGGTGTTATGGGAAGTGTTCCCGGTTATGGTTGACCTAATTAATACAGCCTATAGAAATGTGATAGTGTGTTATGTATATGCCAGGTTAAAGAGATGGGTCTTTAAACTGGAGTTTGTTTATTAAGCTGGAGTTCAGGCAGCTGGAGTTTGTTTATTAAACGCGCAGAGCAACCACTCAATAAAGAATTACAACAATCTAACCTGAAGTCATGAACACATGAATTAACGTTTCTGCATTTGAGATTGAGAACATAGGTTGTAATTTAGACATATTTTTGAGATGAAAAAATGTGATTTTACAAATGCTAGAAACATGATTTTCAAAGGAAAGATTGCTATCAAATAGCACACCTAACTGATGACAAAGAATTGACAGCACAGCCTTCAAGTGTTATTGTTCTAGATTATTACATGCAGAGGTTTTTGGTCCAATAATTAACACCTCTGTTTTTTTCAGAAATTACTTATCATCCAGTTTATTATATCAGCTATGCATTCCATTAGTTTTGTGAATTGATATGTTTCGTTGGGCCATGAAGAAATATAGAGCTAAGTGTCATCAGCATAGCTGTGAAAGCTAACACCATGTTTCCTGATTATATCTCCCAAGGTTGACATGTAAAGCGTGAAAAGCAAAGGTCCTAGAACTGAGCCTTGTGGTACTCCATACTGCACTTGTGAATGATATGATGCCTTGTCATTCACTGCTACGAATTGATGACGTCAGATAAGAATGATTTGAACCTTGCCAATGCAATTCCACTAATGCCAACATAATTTTGTATTCTATTCAAAAGAATATTGTGGTCGAGCGCAGTGCTAAAATCCAGTAGCACTAATAGAGACATACAACTACGATCAGATGATAAGAGCAGGTCATTTGTAACTCTGATGAGAGCAGTCTCTTTACTATGATATGGTCTAAATCCTGACTGGAAATGCTCACAGATACCATTTTTCTCTAAGAAAGAACATAGCTGTGAGGAGACTGCCTTTTCTTGTATCTTTGACAGGAAAGGGAGACTTGAGATTGGTCTGTAATTAACTTATTCTCCAGGATCAAGTTGTGGTTTTTTAATGAGAGTCTTAGTAACAGCCAGTTTGAAGGTTCTGGGGACAAATCCTAATGACAATGATATTCAGAAGAGGATCTATGACTTCTGGAAGTACCTCTTAGTGTAACACAGTATCCTGTGCTTTGTGCTTTCTAAAATACCAATGTTCACCACGCTGCCCTATAGTGGCCACTAAAAGCATTTAGATACTTTAGTATCTACAGTGTCAACAAAGCAAGTGTAATTTATTTTTAAGGACAGCACAAGCAAACAAAACGTTTTTACACCAAGATGTTTGTTAGATTTAATGTTTTAATGTCAAATATTTTAAATAATAAAACTATAGATAAACTCTTCAAAATAAAGAAAAAACTACAGTATTTGGAAACTTCAAAAGTAAAAAAAAAAATTCTGAATTGTATTGCATAGATATAACTTATTAAAGCAAGTGGCATCTGCAACAAATGCTGATCAAGCTTTTCTAAGAAATAACTCTTTTCTGAGCCTCTTTTGAATTGCAACCTGCTTCATAATATTGATGACGCATTAAATCATTGAGCACTACTCGAATGGGTTTGCTGCCCTACATTAATCTGGAAATTATTGTTTTATACTGCACTTTTGTAATCTGGCTCTAGGGGGCAGTAAAAGCATATTGTAGCCCAGCTGCAAGTCCAATACAGTCAAAACCATGCCACTGGGAATGGGAAAATGATGTTTGGAATAGTGCCTGAACATTTTTTTAGTTTTATTTATTTTATTATTTTTTTTCTGTATATACTAAACTGTCCGCAGTATGTGGGTGAATCTCAAAAATAGTCCTATTCATATTCCATCCCACAATCAAAAGAAAAAAAAAACTGCTAACTTGAAGAAATGAAACCTTTTTAGAACCATTGAGTTTTTTTTTTTTTACTCTATTAGATTGTAGACTGTAGTACTGTACAATGGATTACCTTTGATGAGCATAAAGGCATAACAACATCTACAACATTTACATTATATTTTTAATAAGCATTGTATCAACTGTTAAAGAAAATCCAAATTATTTATTTCAGGCTGCATTGCTGCACTATGAAAAA